TCCAACGTGTCTGTATCAATTTTAGACAGAAGGTTGTTATGAGGAAGTATTTCCTGAGACTCAAGCAGGCTAGTTAGTTTGTAATCATTTTGGGTTAAATAATTCAAAAGCTGATGCAAAAGTAAATTAGTAAGTAGTCTAAACGACATGGTTTTATGGCAAACTTTATCAAAGAAACCTAATTTTCGCTCTCTGATTATATTACGTCTGGTTGACAAAAACGATTGTATAAATTTAGTGCATTTAGACTTTTGTGAGGTGTTTGACTTGGCACTGAATAGCGTGCTGATTAAACATTAGCACTATTCAGTAACATTAGACTGTACATTAAATGGATTACAAAGTGGCTGACAGAGCTCAACAAGTAGCTGTCGATGGAGAACCAGGACCCGTGGTTTCTGGGGCACATCAGGGTTAAGTATAAGTACCAAAGCTCTCCATTGTTCGTACCAATGGTCTGCAGCAAAACACAAGATGAAATTTTTTTGCAAAATACAAAGATTGAGAGAGTGGTATGCAGTGAAGAGGAAAGAGAACGGGCACTGGGGAAGCTGAATCTTTTGGTAAAGAGGACGAGGAATTTATCAAACCACATGTTGTTCTGTGCAAGGGCACAGCCCTGCAGGCAGGAGCACGGGATGGGGCTGGCAGGAGCATGGGATGAGGGGATCAGTGCTCCAAAAAGCCTCTGCGCATTGATCCCACTGCGATGCCCTGCCAAAAGGAATTCATGTGGCCTTTAAATGTATAAACAATGAAGTAGTGAAGTGCAGGAAAAGAGTTAATTTTACTTTTATGCGCAGCATTGCTAAAAACAGGTCTCAAACTGGAAAAATACTGTTGAAACTTTGAAAGGATATGGAAAAGTTGGAGAATGGGTAGGAAAGAATGGCTAAAATTATTTGAGGGTCTGAGGAAATGTTTTACAATAGGCGGCCTGAAAGGCTTAGTGTGTTTCATTGACCAAAAAAAATTCTGAGGTGACTTTTTTTGTGCAAGAGACTGTTTCTGGGAAGAAAATACTCTGCCCTAAAGGGACAGAAAAGTGAAAGAAAAGCCTGTATCTGAAAGCTGAACCAGATAGCATTAAATGAGGTGTGGGGTTTGGTAGGGTTTTTTGGTCTTTGTTGGGTTTGTTTTTTTTTTAACTAGGAGGTGATTTTAGTCATTAGAGCAAATTACCAAGAAGAAAAAAGGGTTCTCTGCTTTTTGATGGCTGCCTGGTAAGACTTGCTGTTTTTCTCCACTATTGAATTTCTTGGGACTTATAGCTGTGTTCGATTAGAAATAGCTGGGTAAAATACAACAGTTTGTTATAAGGTCAAATGAAGATCTAATGAGTCTTCCTGGCCTTCAACTTGATGAAACTATAACTGCATATGAGCACACTGATCTTAAAAATGTTCTTACCTGATTTCAAAAGGCAAAACCCTACCGGTGATATTAGCTTCCTCGTGTGCGACAGTTGTTGCTCATACATTTTTAATGTTTTAATCTGGAAAGCTCATTGACATTTTGTTTTGAAACACACGGTGCCACTCAGCGATGGAGCGCGTTTCTTCCCATCCTGCACAATCCGGGGCAGGGAGAGCGACGGGGCTGCCTGGGCACACTCTGTCCCCTCCAGCTCCAGAGCCTGGGCAGGGTTTCTTCAGGTGCCTGAGGTTCTCCGCTGCCATCGATGTGGTTTGTGCTGAACTAACGCTGAGGCCACCTTGGGCTGCTCCAGCACCGCCAGGGCTCAGCGCTCTGCTGGGGAGTATCAGCAGTGACAGGCAAAGTTGTGATAGAAGGAAGAGATTTACGATGCATACCTGATTCCAGCATCAAGCTGTAAAGATTTAGAGGCAAAAGGAGCAACTCCAGGTATGAAAAATGTCAAGAAGAAGTGTTTCCTATTAGGGAGCAGTCGATGAATTCACCACGGCTTGGCCCAGCCGTGTCTGCCTTCTTACTTGTGCTGTAGGGCTCTGGTTTTGACATTAAAGCTGTCACCTTGTGCTGAGTCTGTGGCACAGGAGTGGATGTCTCCTCGCTCTTCAGCTGTTAAATGCCCTGAACATGACTGCTCTTCATCAAAAATCCCCCATTTGGATACAGATTCTGCGCTGCTCTCGCTCCCAGAGCCTTGCCAGGCAGGGTTTGCTGCCTTCTCATGGTCCAGCTCCCTCCAGGCACAGACCTGGTGAAGTTTGGGTTTAGATTGTCTCGGCTACGGCCACAGTGTAGGGTAGTCCTTAGAGATTTCACCTCATACTGTTACCTTAATGACTTGCCCGTTTTCTAGCAACTAAGCCTCAAATGCACCCGTGTGTCACAGAGCTGGCAGTGACCTTAGGGACCTCGGTTACCACAATGACGGGCAGCAGTCACAACATGCTCCAAGGCCAGTGCCTCTAAATGGGAAGGAGGGAGTGTTGCGGGGGGGGTGGGTTTAAATTCCAAAGCGAAACTATAATTAGCTGTAATCGTACCCAGAGTAACTTCGCTGCTATAATTCTCAGCAGGAAAACAATTACATTGCAGCAGTATAACCAGACAGACACGCTGTAAATACAAAACATCCTTTGGAAATATATGCTGCATATTCTAAATACATTTAGAATTAAGGCAAACAATTCTTTCCTAATTGGGATTCAAGGCAGACATGCCGAGGAGTTTGGGGATTTTTTTTCCCCTTCTGCTTCCACTTTTTTGCTTAGCAGACATACAAGGGCGCCGTGTTAGTGAATACGTTGTCGGCGTGCTCAGGCTATCGTCGGAGGAATGGCAGGGGAGAGCTGACCCTCACGCTTGGTTGGTAGCTCTCCCCGCTGCAGCTGGTTACTTCTGTCCTTCTGAGATGAAGGCGGTTGTGGAGAGGAGGTGCCGGAGAGGACTCATGAAGCCCAAAATCAGAGCTTCTGCTGCTCGTGCTCCGGAGATGCAGCAGCTCTGTGGAGCTCAAAACTACAGCTGATCCAATGCCCTCGGTGTGCGTTGGTCACTAGGGGGGAATGGAGGACTGCGGAGCTTCTGGGTCACTGGCACCTATTTTATTTTACCTATGAAAACTGCAAATGCTTCAGGGTCTGTCTGCCTGAAACCCTGCAGCTTCTGCTACAGCAGAAGCTGAAGAAGCAGCTGGATATAGAAGGGATTGTGCCCGTCATTGTTTTCTTTTCACACCTTTATCTAGTGAGGAGACCCAGGGCTGGTATTTGGGGCACATTGCAATCCTTTCCCTCATTCAGGGTTTGGTCATTTTAAGTGGTACGGTGTTGATTTGCCAGGGGTTCTTTTAAATTATTGGGCTTGAAATGCATTTCTGAACTCCATTCAGAGTGCCTAGAATATATGTAAGTGCAATTTTTTAGGAGCTTCATTCATCTTTTGAGGGGTTTTATGCAGCACATATCCTAAAGCTGCTCAAAGAAGGAAAATTTAGGCATTTGCTGCTGCCTAGTTCAGCTCCTCTTGGAGAAGAGGTACCAGGCAGGCTGGGAGAGCTTCTTAGTGTCTACCACCCCTCTTCTAGATCAACAGGAGGATGTAGAGAGGAAAAGAAAAAAAGCAAAATAGAAAAAGGGGGGGAAAAAAAGCTAGACTAAAATAAATGTATTTGAAAATCTACAGAGTTCCCTGGGAAGAGAAGTATCTTCTTTACGCATATTTTAAATACATTCCTGCAATACCTTCAATACGATGGTTTCATAAACCTACAGAAGGTTTTTCACTATCCATTGGACAAGTGGGTTCCTACGAGCATGCAGGCTTACGTGATTATATCAATCAGGGTAAGGCTTCATTTGTTGCATTGTCTAACACTGATTCCGCCCATGACAATTAACATTATTGTTAGGTGTTCTAGTATTTCCAGTAGCCGTTCATCCTATCTCCACTGATGCTAGTAGACATTTTACAATAAGAGTGACTAAGTTACAGAATTTAAGGACAGTAGGGTGAGATAAGGTTAAAAAGAGTAGCAGTATCCATCATGAATGCAAATATTGCCCAAGGCAGAAGATCAGGACTATGCCTCTCTTCAAAGATAGAAATAACCAAAATTTCACATTTGGGGAAAAAAAGGGGAAAAAAAAAATAGGAGGGTGGGGGAAAGAGAGACAGGAAGGAGCAAAAGAGAGATCTTCCAGAAATCACAAAGCCAAACCTAGCAGCTTTTTACTGCAGCTCTCAAAAGTTTAGAAGTGCAGCCCGTAACGATGAAATGCATGGCTTGGAGGGGAGAGCTAAATCAGGCTCCTAGCACAGACCAAAGGGTTGTTCTATATATATATTTATTTGTCACTGCAAGTAATGGCTGTGAAGCAAACAAAAGGGAATACAGCTGATGTTTAACAGCCACTGCACAACCGCTAAGCTACTTCTGCCTTGGATCTGGAAGCTTATATGGGGAACATGTGGTAAGTTTCTTTTCTCTATGCTAGCAGGTTATAAACCTGAGTTTCCCCTAGATATACCCCTTTCCCATGCTTGTTCTTTCTTACTGTGTATGAGTAGCAAAGGGGTTCAGGATGGAGCTTTAGATTTATAATCACTTAATTTCCCTTCATGTTTTAAGTGAAAACACTAGTTTGAATGTGCCAGAGCAGGAGCCTGCAAGAACACAATCATTCAGTGCATGTGTAAAAGTGCAGATATATGTAAACACACAGGTATACATGACACAAAGAAAAACAGGGATACTTCAGCTATACCACTCTAGAGCTTCTGGGCTGAAGAGAACATGAATTTTCCTGTGTATTTGTCTTCTTTACACTGATTTGATTTGCTTAGAGTAACAGGAAAACACAAACAACACATGGGGTATGGAGGAAAATAAGCAATTGTCTTTACGTTTCCCCTATATATATATATATACCATTAGCTTTACACAAAACATGACTCACTAGCAGCAGGTGTCCTGCTGTTATGTTGGGCAGATTAGTAATGGGAGGGAGGGGGCTGCTCTCCCTATATGGCATCCCCAAGGGAAGCTAAAAATAGTTCAGAGACTTCCAGCAAAGTAAAAGTATTTGTGGGCTTTGAGTGAAGTCTGCTTCTGAAGGTAAGAATCAGAGCTGATCTGTTTAATCTGCCATTCCTTCTTTTTTTCCTTTCTTTTTTTTGTTTTTCTCCCGTGTGAAGCTTGCCTTGGCAGTTGATCGGCAAATGTTATCTGGCACAAGGCTGGGAGTTTGGAATTATAAACAGTTGCTTTCCGTGTTTGTGGAAACAGGGTGGGGGATTGACCAGCTGAAGGAAATCAGTGTGACAGAGAGCATTCACAGCCGAGGCAGAGACAACAGAGGAATGTGTCTCAGTTAGAAATAGTTGCATTTCCTTTTTTTCTCTCTCTCTTTTTTTCTCTCTCAGTTGTTAGAGAATCTGAACGGCGTATGAGCAATCACAGCATGTGACTCTGCTCTGAGTAGAAGCAAGCTATTGCCGGTAGTTACACCCACCGTGATACAAGTCCAGTAAGCAAAGTTGTCTGCGAAGTTATTGTAGCAGCAGAATATGAAAAGAGAGGAACTGTTTGTATTTCTGAGATACGTGCAAATCAGGGTGCTACGTGCGCTCCATGGAAGTGTGGCTGAGGAGACTTTTTAGCCTTGCTGGTAAACGTCTGTATATCTGTATACTCAGACTCACTGATAGGCAGAGTGCTGCCTAAAAGGAAAACTGTTTCAGACACCAAGTACGGAGCATAATTATATGTGTGTGTGTGTGTGTCTATCCACGTGCATCTGCATCTGCATGTATGCAGGGAGCAAGCAAACTGCTGGACTGCAGAAAAGCCCCACAAGCCTTGCGTTGAGCCGCCACCTGGGTGGCTTAGGGCAGCGCAGGAATGGAGATGTAAGGGCTGAGTCTCACTTCTGAAAAATGAGACACAAGGGCTCCTGGTTACACCAGAATAACCTCATGGGCCATGATGGATTTCCCCTGATTTTTTGAATGGCATCACCGATACTGATAACGAGAGACTTCTGCATTGTGGAAACTAGATAAAATGCGACAGCCCCGCACGGGGAATCTCTGAGGAGAGTGGTGTGTGTCACACACCCGTGTGAGCACACCTGGGCACCTTCACAAAAAGCTGCCATTCCCAACCCCTGAGCCCTGTGCCTGATTTTCTGGGCCTGCCTCCTTCTCTGCTCTCTTTTAGTGCTGTCTTTGGCAATCCTAACCCTAACCCTGGCTTGTATCAGAAATAGTGTGGCCAGCAGGACTATGGAAGTGATTGTCCCCCTGTACTCAGCACTGGTGAGGCCCCACCTTGAGTATTGTGTTCAGTTTTGAGCCCCTCACTACAGGAGGGACATTGAGGTGCTGGAGTGTATCCAGAGAAGGGCAATGAGGCTGGTGAGGGATCTGGAGAACGTGTCTTATGAGGAGCAGCTGAGACAGCTGGGATTGTTCAGCCTGGAGAAAAGGAGGCTAATGGAAGACCTTATTCCTTTCTACAACTACCTGAAAGGAGGGTGTAGTGAGGTGGGGGTCAGTCTCTTCTCCCAGGTAACAGACGATGCAACAAGAGGAAATGGCCTCAAATTGTGCCAGGGGAGGTTTAGACTGGTTCTAAGACAAAAGGGTTATCAAACATTGGAACAAGGCGCCCAGGGAAGAGGTGGAATTGCCATCCCTGAAGGTGTTTAAAACACGGGTAGATGTGGTGCTGAGGGATGTGGTTTAGTGGTGGTTTTGTCAGTGTTAGGTTGATGGTTGGACTCTGATCTTAAAGCTCCCTTCTAACCTATGATTCTGTGATTTGAAATGAGTTCCCGAGTGGTGGGCATGGCTGGGTCCTGGCTGCTGTGCCACGGGGTGGACACGGTGCAACTTCTAGCATCATGGGGCTGCCTGAGCTCCTGCAGTAGGTGCTGAGAGCCCATCAGCACTGTGCCTTGGATACCTGGGCTGTCGCTGGAATTAGTAGCGATTCCCAGCTGGGCCAGTAACACCCTCTGCCGGGCGGTATGGTGGAAAGGGGGAGACCAGCAAACTATAGCAGCAATCTAATTTTAGCTCCCTGTTGTTGGGCCAGCTTCTGCTAACATCAGCGTCAATGGCAAAACCGACGTTAATTTGAGTGGGAAAAGGACTGAACCCAAATTAATATATGCTGGCCTGTGTAATTATCTTTATTGGCTGATAGGGAAGGAAGACCTTATTCACTCAATGCATTTCTATGGCTGCCTGGCTGTGCTCCAGTGATGCACCAGCCTGTGAGCAGACGGGCTGGGAGAGGGGGACGGGAGCACTGTATCCATTCATGAGGGGCTGTAATTCACTGTCATCCCCAAATGATTAAATCCTGCTTATTTCAAACCGCCAGGTGAAGGAGCAACACCCACAAATATGGTGGGTAGGATTTAGCCTCCGGGTGCTTGCAGAAAAACTTGTCCTGTTGAGTCCAAAGTTCAACATCCTGATCCCTGTGAACAGCCACAGGGGAGAGCATGTAGGTTTTAGTCAGTGTTAAACATTGCATTTCCAGACTGGTTAAAAGAGTGGAAATTGAAGAAGATGGCTATATGCTTAGAAGCACAAGAAGACAGAGCAGCTTTGCTAAGTGTTAGGGATGGACATAAACTAAAGAGAAATCCTATTTGGCAGCACAGAGAATCTGCTGGGGTTGGCAGTCTGAAACCTGCTCCACGATAATTGTTTTCTTCTTCAATAATCCAATGTATTGATTAGGGTAAGCAGAAAGGATCCATCCCGATGGAGCTCTGCAGGGCATTTTACCACACTGCTTAGTTCAAATGGTCACAGTTGATATTCATGTGTTTTCCTCTGCTGAGCAAACTGGATATGACAGAAGACAATGTAATTTAGGGTTTTTTCCTCTTCCTGAAAATGAATTGCTACATGTGATTTCATATGCTCACGCTTGCATATTTATGGGGAGTCCCAAAAATCTAATTTCCATCATGCCAGCTCCTGTTTAGCACAGACTTAATTTTGCAACTTTTGAATAAATTCTCTTTGACAAAATAATATTATGACATATGGAAACAAAGCAGCCATTTTAAGTAGAGAAGCGTGATGAATAATCAATTCTTTCTGAAAGTGCACATCATTGTTACCTTGTGATAGTTAAATGGCCAGTTCAAGGAAGCAACGTAGGCAGATGATGGCATAGAAATGTAGAGTTGTTCCTGACCCTTGTGTGGGCTCTCCAGTGCTCTTGAATCTCCCGATTTGCTATGAGAGGGTGCACAAATGATTTGCAATTGAGAGGACTCTCTAGCTTGTTTACTCCTCTTAATAATGATTCATGACAAGGACATCAAGATGCAAACCATGCCAGGCAAGCTCATAGGAAGGAGGCCACCACGGTGGATGCTGTCAGTAATCTTCCTGCTAAGACTATAGCGATTCTTTGGGCTAGTCTTCTTTAGCTGGCCATCTGCTTTGCATTCCCTGGTGGTACTTCGGTTTGGATCTCCGGTTTGTTTGTCATTTCAGTCTCCCACTTTATTATTTCCAGAGCCAAGTGAACCGCTGCCAATGGCAATGCAATGAGATTGCATTGTGAGCTTTGCGACATGGTATACTTTCTTTTTTTTTTTTTATCTTGAAGCCTCAGCTCCTGGAATTAGTTGATTATGTTAGAATCCCAGCATTCATTGGAGAGAAAAAAAAAAAAGAAAAAAGAAGGAAATAAAAAAGGAAGAAAAAAAAAAGAGTGGATCTCTGCTCCTCGTGATCTAAGGAAAAAGCTTGAAAAAAAAAGGATCCCTGCAGTCTGAGTAATCACAAGCCAAATAAAAAGAGGCTTCTTTTTTTTTTTTTTCCCCAACATCAGACTGTTTTACAGACAATCATCCTATTTCTGAGTCTCTCACTCACAGTTTTTGAGTGCTGGGTGCTGGCAAACCTGAGCAGCAGCTGTTCCTTTCTAAAGGCAGGGAAAATAAGTAGAGTCATCTCTAACAGGAAAAGTTACTTTATCTTTCCCTGTGCTGCCTTTTCCTCTGATGCTACAGCACACCCCTGCCCATGGTCAGCCCAGCACTGGGAGCCCATTGCAGCAGCTCGAAGAAGAGCTCACATCCCAGTAAGTCCCAGTGAGAAATGGGAGGACAAGAGTTTGCATTAACCAGACCCCGTGATTCCCTTGAGGTCAGGAGCAGCAGCTGCTGCTGTCACTGACCCCATAACTTTGAATAATCTTAGTTATGGCCATACGGCATTTGTGTGTTCGTGGCACATCTGACGTGATGAGGTCTTGCCCAGTTCTGGGGTGGAGACTGTCACTCTTTCCCCAGCTTGGGGACATATTTGGGATGCAATTACTGGAGCTGGGAAGGGTCCGTCATTTATATTTCAGTTTGCCTGGTATACTCTTTCCCCACGTTTATTTTTCAGTGGGAAAAGAGATGGCATTCAAGACTGATTTTAACAAAATGTGTTTGTTGCTCTGGATTTTTCATCACTCTGGGCTGGGGCCTTAGGGAAACATATTTGCTTTTATTGCATTTTCCGGTAACTAAATGGAATTAGCATTCCCTGCCATTGCTGGCCAACTGGATCCAGTGCACAGTGCAAAGCAGTGCAAACAAAGGACAACAAGGAAGAATTAAAAATGAAAAGAATAACAAAAAGGAAGAGGAAGAGCGACAGCTCAAATTTGTTGCTGGCCTGACGATGAAATTTACGATACTTAATACTTCCCAATTTTGCTGATGTGCTTTTGTTTTCTTTTGGTCTGTCAAATGCCTTCAATACTTTCACTTTTTTTGGAGCTGGAGATGGGATGAACACAGAAATGTTCCATATAACCTACAACACATAGGAGGAGTGCACGTACAGAGGCATCTATATGGGGCAGGACCTTCACGTACTCTCCATGCACTGCTCAAAAGCACTCATAGTTTGCAATATTTTCAGATGGGCAAGAAAACAACTTTCAAACTGAGTGATACTGAGAAGAAAAAAGAATCTTCTTGCTCGCTAATCAGATTATTTTTCATACTTCATTTAATTTTGGTGTTTTAGTGATAGCGAGGCTCAGTGGCACAGCAGCAACTTGGTGAGTGGCAAAGTTGGAGACTC